AAATATACAAATAAAACATAACACAATAAATAAATAAAATTGTTTTTTTTTTTTTTTACAAAATTACACAAATAGTCCTTATGGAAGACAGAAAATACCATTGTAAGTACTTTTGAAGAATTTTTAATATGGTTGATTATTTTCATGTTTAGAACACACATGATATTTCATTGTGGTTGGCAGAAAATAACCTATCGTGTACGTTTATAACCTAAAATTGACTAAGATATTAAAAATTCTTAAAAGAAATTTTTTTTCAACCACAAAGACCATTTATATAATTTTTAAACATACCACTAAGCTGCCATCTTCCAAAGCAGACGTATACCGAAGTAACCAAAAGTCACGTGCTGGAGCTAAAGTTGTTGGTGCATAAAGCTATAAATTAGTTAAAACGAGTCAATTAAACTATTAAAAAATCGTTCAACACAGCTTGTACACAAATGTACAAGTGCTCATTGCATGTGTGAAATTAAGTAATGAAAAATTGTAAACCTGCATGTAAAGAAGCTCAATGGTGCCATTACTTCCAGTTGTGAGCACATTAAGAACATCAACAGCTCGACAATCGCGACACCAGGATGGCCGATCTTTTAAGATTTCGACAACCTATTTTTTACCAAAAATATTAATACAAAAAAACATGTTTTTTTTAAGGTTTTTTTAGTGAATCTAGGAGAGGACTTACTCTAGTAGGTTCTAGACCAACTAGACCACATGCACGTGATGCGACACCTGTGCAACCATGAGAAATAGCGATGATTCCAATGGAATCCGGACCAGGCTGCATAATTAAGAAAATGTCAAGATAGGTTGAGTAAATTACATTTTTGCCCCTCTGATTATTGCTAATTTTTACAATTTTGGTTAATATTTGAAGTTTTAAAATGTTTTTTTTGTCCCTATTAAGTAAAAGAAAGTCCCAGAAATATTACTAGGAACAAGTTACAAAACTTCAAATGAGGACTGAAATTTCAAAACTTAGTAATATTTAGGAACCAAAAATGTAACTTAAGATAGTTTTTTATTTCAAAAGTAAATGGAAGCCACAAAATGAAAATGTTAAATGATTAAAACTAATAAATCTAATTCTTTTATGTATAGTTTTGCTTTTGAGATCGGAATTTTAAACAATGGAAGTTGAAAAAGGAAACAGGAATTAAATTAAATTAAATTAAAAAATATAGGAAAAGGTTGAATGTGGAGGGTAGTGGTTCAAATGATGAGATTCTGATGTGTGTTAGAAGGTTAGAAAAAAAAGTAGAGTAATTTAATAAAAAGATAATATTAATTTAAGGTTAATGGAATGATTATTCACAATTAAAAAATAAATAAATATTAATTAATTAAAGGAAGTGCAAAGAACCTTCATCCCAGGCATTCGGACCCACTCTACAGCAGTCCCAGTTGCCTTTGATAAAAACTCTGTTAAAGTCTCCTCTGCAATAGACAAAAGCCTAAAAAAATAACAAAAAAAAAAAAAAACATTTTCGATCAAAAAACATATAAAAAAAACTATCTTTTTCTTTATTTTTTATAAAAATCAATACTACAACATTCTATGCATGATGTACAAGTGGAAATGTAACTAACCCTGCAGGACTGGCATCCCTTGGTGGATTTTGAGGAGTCAAATGGTGTTGACCGCTCGTCACCACCGACTCGCAGCTTGTATCCGTGGTGGCGAGCGCCGTCTGCGTTAAATCAGCAACCGTTAAATCCGCCGGAAAATCAGTAAAACAAAAAATAAAAAAAAGAAAAATATCGAATTTTTTCTGTACGTTTTGAGTTTGCTGACGAAAATAGCCGTTTTCGTATACCAAATTAGAAACTTGTTTCTGCAACCTATCGTTCTCCTCCATTAACAACTTGTTCATGGCTGATAGCTTCCGATTCACAGCTTGTAGCCTCGATGCCTCTTTTCGTTGCTTCTCTCTACATCTGTGTATCCAAAACGACGAACCTTTTAATGATGAACTTTCTAACCAATTCAAGATCGATGAAGAAGTAATTAATCATGGTGGTATTAACTAGTAATTACCTTCGGTTTTGAAACCAGACTTTGACTTGTTTGGGTTCGATGTTGGAGAGAATTGGGCATTCGCGAATGAGTTGTTGCCGGCGAAGTGAGCTGGGTTTTGGGCAGTCGTGATATAAGCGTTCTAAAGCTTCGACTTGCTCCGGCGTATACCGGACATATTTTCCGTTGTCCATCCCCATCGGATCACCTTTGCAGGCGGAGCTCACCGCCATCATCACTCTGAAAACGGTGAATATTTCCGATATATGTATAAAGATTAAATTTTGAAGTAAACCCTAAAGTTTAAATTTGATTATAAGAATCTTGGTTGGAATGATGAAAACTTTGAAGTGAGTTGGTGAAAGTTGTTCAAGAACTTGAAGAAGCCATGATGGAGAAGGATGTGATCAGTTCCAGCTAATATATATTCTTGAATGAATGAATTATACGTGATTCAAGAGGATAGAAGTTCATCTATCTAGCTACACGCACAAGAACCATGAGAGCGAAAAGGGAAATCATGTGTGTACTCTTGAGTAAAGTGATTAGAAAAAAACAAAGATAAAAACATTCGTCTCATCTCATCAATGGCATTTATGAAGATTTCCCAGAATGCTTATTGACAAAGCGATGATACGACATATGAGAGAGAGAGAGAGAAGAGAGAGAGAGAGAGAGAGAGAGAGAGAGAGAGAGAGATGACAAACACACCTTGGATTGAAGTGTAACGTTGTCGTTTACCCTTGTTTGTGTCTTCTTTTATTGTTATTTTTTTAATTTAACTCTTGTTGGCAGATGGACTTCCCTCACAACCACGCAGCTCCAAGCACGAAATGCAGATTTTCCATTATTGGATCACTCAAGATTGTGAAGTTCGAGTGAGACCCAAGTGGATGATTTTCCTCAAATGCCTCAAATCGTTTCGTTATATGCCCAAATAACTCCCAAGTGAAAGAAATTTATATGAGAGAGAGAGAGAGAGAGAGAGAGAGAGAGAGAGAGAGGAGATGAAAGGGAGTTAATAAAAGGGAAACCCCAAGTAGGAGACAGAAGCAGACGATTTTCGGATCCTTATTCCATTTTGCTCCACACTTTGTACCAATCAAACACAATTGGAGTCGTGGTGGATTTTAAGGCCACTCTCTCTTTCAATTTTGTTTCTTATTTAAGATGAGATAGATGATGATCACACTCTGCAAAAGTGGACTCCTACTTTCGTTTAATTAATGTACTGCTTTGGGTAATTTTCAAATCAAACAGTTTAAAAGATTCTGGTGTGTATTTTACTTGATATATGATACATCAATTCTCACCGATCTTAAAGCTGCAACACATTGAAATTGATATTAAGTGCGTACAGATTACCGAATCGGCTTTGCTATAAGTAACCATCTACTTACATAAATAATCACGGAGCTATACAAACACTATTACCATCATATTGAGGGGTACACAACATTAAGGGTACGTATAGAAATTGCCAAATCGAATTATGTATATTAAATTTTTTATAAAGCTATCAAATGGTTTTTGATATATTAAGGTGTATAGGAAGTATGTCTCTTCTCAAATGGTTAAAGGCTTAAGTCTCTTCGTGAACAACAATATAGAATTAAAAGTAGGAGTAAAGGGTGTATTTTTATGATGCCTAGAAGATCGGATTGAATGATCGATTACAATCAACAACACAAAGAATGAAAAATCTGAATGACCGATTACAATCAACAACACGAAGAACAAAAAAAAAAAAAAAAACTCTAAATGGATTCTCAATTGATAATCGGAAACTATCTAACTAACAAATGAAACGAGGATAAGGTAAGTTTCCATCCTTAATCCTAGGCGATCAAAATTGATTAGGAGAAGGTTTCTAATCAATTATCTAAATCAAATAAAAAATCAGGCTTTCAAAAAAAAAAAAAAACCACAGTTTTGAATCCCTAAATGGTCGAAAAACACCATTTTTCATGGCAAAGCTATGAACTTTCTTAACCCGCCAATTTTACATGTCGTGTGCAAATTCATCCAATTCTAAGTTGTCAGATAACTTCAACAAATTTGTTATTGATGTAATCATACTTCCATTCTTACTGGTGTTGGCATCAGCAAATCATGCATCACCCTTGTACTAGTTGTGTCATCCTCTCGCTCTTGAAAAGAACTCGTCATCGAGTCTACTTCAAAACAAGAATCCCTGATGAAAGATGACAAAGTCTGCAACATTGAACATAGCTGACACATTATAATGACTTGACAACTCAATCTTGTAAGCATTGTCGTTGATTTTCTTCAAAAGACGAAAATGACCATCAACCCTTGGTCGGAGCTTGATAAAGCGTCTTTTGGAAAACCTTTCTTGCCTCAAATGAATCCACACAATATCATATTCACAATACACACCCCGTTTGCGATGTTTATTAGTAGAGTCAACATATTGATTATTATGTTTCTCAATGCAAACCTGTTGGTGAAGTTCTTTAATTTACTGGAGTTCTCGTCATCTTTAATACTAAACTGATCAACCATAGTTATAGGAGTTAAGTCAAGCAGGGTGATCGAGTTCTTTAATTTACTGGAGTTCTCGTCATCTTTAATACTAAACTGATCAACCACCACCATGACCGAATCCTTATGTCATTAAATATGAGACATACCTAAAACAACATTTAAACTCACGTCTTCCTAAAGAGAAGTAGAGACGGGATGATGGGTATACAACTCATTCTTGTTTCCATGAGTTTTGACCAAATGACAAAGACGACATGTTGTACCACCTGTGTCATCAATCATATCATCTGCATCAATTTGTCATTCAAAAAATATTTTTATAAAGGCTGTGTCAATCTTTTTCAAAACAAATAAAATAAGAGGATTATATTGCTTCAAATATATAGTTGATGACATATAGTTGAACTATTTACAAATATATTACGCAGAATACAAATATATTGTTGGAATATTTATAAATATATGTTTTTTAAATATAACAATGGTGTTATTGTTAACATTGCTATAATAATTTCTATACTAGGTTGATATAAAACATTGATTATTTTGAATTATATGATAAAGTAGACATTTATCAAAACTATATAATCTCAATTGTCAATGACATATATCTATGAGTTACTCGTGAATAAAATTACATACAATGTATGATCATTTAATCTTATTTATAATTGTTGTGATTAATTCTTTAAAAACAAATTAATTGCTTAATATTTTAATTTATATAATTGTAATTATTTAAAACATCAAACATTATTTTCCTTTTTAAAGCTAATAATATAATTTTTTATAAATGTTACTTTTAAGTTTGTTGTTGTAAGTTATAAGCTACTTATTTGGAAACTTTTAATGAATATATAAATAATTTTAGAAATATTTTTAGTTAATTTGAAATTGCAATTTAGGTTTTGCATCTAACACGACAATTTGAAACTTTTCCTATTTACAAAATAATCTTTGGATTTTTTTTAAGTGTAATTGAAATTTTGATTTAAGTTAACCCTTTAATGTTATATTTAAATTAACAAGTTAAGTATTTTACATAAAATATTTAAAAGTTGTGACTTTAAAATGACAATGACTTACATACAAAACCATATCCACAGTAATAATTTAAGTATATCATGTTAAAAGTTAAAGACAAAATTTTTTATGTAGAAGTAAAAGATGAATTTTAATATTTATATTTAGTTAATTTAGGATTACAAATTAGGTTTTGCACTTATTTAATAATATTAAGCAATTTAGTATTATTATTAGAAAAAAAAAATTGAAAAGTTACGAGAGTTTCAAATGCATGTGGTGAAAGAAAAAATGTTTCGTTTATAATATAAATATAGATATAGATATAGATATAGATATAGATAGATGGCATAGAACATCATATTTTCTTGACCATGTTAGATTTTGAACAATTTTATAATTTAGATAGGTACACATTTTATCCATACATGGCATGTTGTAAAATTTTGATATCTTTATAAGTGTATATTTAGTTTAAATATTGTGGGATATCTATAAAACCAATCATTTGTGTTTGCATTATTTAAGAAAATAGTGCATTTTTATAATTAACAAACCATTTCAAAATAGTCATTTCGGACCTGATTTCAATTAGGTACCCAACTCAGTGTAAGTGGTCCCTCTTGTATATATACAATGTTTCCAAAATGTAGTACCTACTAGATCTTGGAGTGGCATTCCTAATTCTTTGGATTTTGAAGAAAATAACTTTTGATGATGAAAAAGATACTATATTTTGGTTATGTTTTTTCTTTACTTTAACTTATTCTTAAATTTGTCTCCAATTTACATAGTCCAAAATCGATGCATAAAAAGATATTAAGATGTCTAAAATATGAAGATTGATTCTAGAACATATAAAACGTGTTCGAAATACGAAAATAGCTGAAAATATGTATATATGTAAATATATTTACTATTTAGGCATGTTTTCATTATAAATTGATATTAGGAATGCTAAATGATTTTCCAAAGTGTGTGTATAGAATATTTGGGGTAGTCTGGATTACAAATATCTTGTTTGGAGCTCTAAATACGAATACAGAATAAGATGATTGAGTCTTGAGCAGTGGAGTAGAAATTGTCTAGAACAATATGTCATAATGTTAAGCTTTTCTCCTTTAACTCATCATGATTATGTATATGACTCCATAGTCACTACTACTTACAAACATGACTTGGTTCGGGTCATTATTACAAGGCTACAACATATCTTGACACGAGCAAAAATTTTCAGGGAGTCATGTTTTGGTAGGTGGATTGATGTACCTTGGGGCATGGAAGGTCACCCGTTGCTCGCCCATTACTTGTTCTACATGGAGGTTGTGACTGGTTTACAGTCCAATGTGGATGAGCTACGATTTCTACCAGGCAACTACGAACTCTACTTTAATAAGATACCATTCTATATGATAATGGTTTGAGGTTTCATGACTATTTTGTTAATCGTTTTACAGCCACACAATTTCAATGACATGTTTTTTGTTTCTCTTGGTGACAAAGAATGTGAAAGTTGGTGACTTGGAGGTTTTCTGCAATAACCCAATTAGTGAGTTATTCTATGAATATATTCTGAGTTTCTCTGTTGTATATGCTAGAGAAGGGTGTTTGGTTCAAGATTTGTAGTGACAATCTGAAAACTTAATGAAGATATGTTGAAGTCATAATCTGAAGATAATGTATTTGCATACCGGAGTTTCAAAAGAGCATTATTTTCTCCTTCGGTATTGGGCATAGGATGTTTTTAGTTCTCCTAACAAGTTGTGTATGTTAGTGTGAGTAGTTAGTTTGGGATTTCAGGCATTATATGTCACACATACCAAATAAGTATTAAGGAGAAGAAACTTATAAGAAATATAATACTTCAATACACAATACAAGAAGGAGGAGAGGGGATGATCTCTAAGCTTTCTATTTTGGTAGCCCAAAAAGAGAAAGAAAAATAAGATGAAAAGTAGCTAGTTTTTGCCTCATGTTCTTCCTTATATACTTCTACTAATGAACTAAGTCAAAACTAGTCATTAAATGAAAGTATGTCATCTTATGACAAGCATGGTGAGAAGGATAAAGAAAGACAACCATAGCTCAACCTTTCTGGGAAGTTGGCGGTTTTGGCATGGAAGTCAAGACCAAGAGTGTGTTGCACTCTTTCTTACTAACTAGCCAGTTACAAGTCCAACTAGATGGTTACTCAAAGTGTCCATTTAATTGTACATAACTTATATATTCATTCCATATGAATATAAATAGTTTTTTCTCTTTTATTATCATTTCCTAGAAATAATAATTTATCAATTAATTGTTAAAATATAATTTTCATACAATAATAATTCTCCAATTAAATATATGCGTTGATAATATTTATTAATAATCAAATTACTTTAATAAATAATTAATTAATAGTAACTTGCTATAAGG